CTGAGATAGGGTTTCTGTCTGTAGCCCTGCCTGTCCTAGAACTCATTCTGTAGACCAGGCTGGTCTTGAACTCACAGAGATCTGCCTGCCTCTGCCTCCTGAGTGCTAGAAGTAAAAGAGTGTGCCACCTCCTCCTGGCTCCTTCTTCTGCTTTTTTGGGGGGTGTTTTTCGAGACAGGGTTTCTCTGTGGCTTTGGAGGTTGTCCTGGAACTAGCTCTTGTAGACCAGGCTAGTCTTGAACTCACAGAGATACACTTGCCTCCCTCTCCTGCTTTTAAATGCTTATTTTGTTTGAGTCTGTGTGTGTGAGTGTGTGTGTGAGAGTCTGTGTGTATCTGTGTCTGTGTGTGAGTCTCTGTGTGTGTGTGCTTGCTGTACATACATACATCCTGGTGCCACAGCATGTATCTGTGTGTATCTGTGTCTATGTGTGAGTCTCTGTGTGTGTGTGTGCTTGCTGTACATACATACATCCTGGTGCCACAGCATGTATATGCAAGAGTCTGTTTGAACCTCCCACACTAGGAATTGAACTCAGGTCGTTAGGCTTTGTGGCAAGCACCTTTATCCACTGTACCCATATCCTCTTGAAATAGGATTCATTCTGTGAGGTTTGTGGCACAATATCAAAAAGAAGGATCTAGAAGAATCCTGTTTCCTCCACCACCATTTATCTACTTCTTGTTTATCTACTTAGATGTGTGTCCATAATTTTTTGTTTTGCTTTTGTTTTTCTTTAGCCCAGATGGTTATACAATGATACTCTGTACCTTGATTTTATGGTTGAATATACATCTTCTTGCTTGTTTTTTGAGACAGGGTTTCTCTGTGTAGCCCTGGAACTTGCTCTGTAGATCAGGCTGTCCTTGAACTCACAGAGATTCACTTGCCCCTTCCTTCCAAATGCTGGGATTAAAGGCATGTGCCACCACTGCCCAGCTTGAATATACATCTTTAACATCACTTTATATAAACTTTAGAAACCAGCCTACTTTCTGTTTGGAAATTGCTTTCAGGTTTTAGTTCAACTCTGGAAGACTTTACTTCTTTATACTTTTATACTATTAAGGGCCATTGTTTGTCTTTCTATTGAATGACTATTCTTTTAAAACTCACATAATTGAACATTAGGTGACATTTATACAATGATACTCTGTACCATGCTTTTATGGTTGAATATACATCTTCTTGCTTGTTTTTGAGACAGGGTTTCTCTGTGTAGCCCTGGAACTTGCTTTGTAGATCAGGCTGTCCTTGAACTCACAGAGATTTACTTGCCCCTTCCTTCCAAATGCTGGGATTAAAGGCATGTGCCACCACTGCCCAGCTTGAATATACATCTTTAACATCACTTTATATAAACTTTAGAATCCAGCCTACTTTCTGTTTGGAAATTGCTTTCAGGTTTTAGTTCAACTCTGGAAGACTTTACTTCTTTATACTTTTATACTATTAAGGGCCATTGTACCCAAGAACTCCAAATGCATTTGTTTATCTTTTTATTGAATGACTATTCTTTTAAAACTCACATAATTGAACATTAGGTGACAGAAAACATAAAATGAATTGTCTTTCTCTGCACCAAGATAGTTTTCCAGGGAAGCTAAGTTTTGTATTCAAGGCCATTCTAGGATTCAGAGAGGAGCCTGAGCAATGTATGTGCAAGATTATGTTTTGTTAATTTTTCAAAAATAAGACATTCTTGCTTTCTTTACCCCCAAAAGATCATTGAGATGACACAAGCTTTAGGCCCTGTGAGCTGTTTTTCTGTCCTGTTTCCTCATGGCCCCTCAGCCCTTCACTTCCTTCATTTGAGGAGTTCTCCTGTGTGGCCTGGCATCCTGTCTCTGTGGAGACATATCTTGGCACTTACCCAAGTGGCCATACTCATCCTGGCACTCCGCTTTGGTGTTACTGCTGTTAGCTTTTCTTGTTTGTAAAAGGCAGGACGTTACAATCCTGTTCTGGACATTTTCTTGCTCACATAACAGGGTCATTCATGCTGGTGTAGAGGATCTTCCTCCTTTTGATAGCCACTATGTTGTCTATTGCATGACTACCCCATACTTTAGTCATTTATTTCCCAACTGACGGACATTTCGGTTATTTCCATCTTCTGTAATTCGCAGTTTGGTAGCTGATAGCCATTTATGTATGTTGATTTGGATGGGTGCCAGTAACACTGCAGGGCAAATGCCTGTATTTGAGTTTTCACCCAGGGTGGCTAGGTCAAAGGGCGGCAACAGAGGGGCTCTCCTAGTGACTGTGATATTGTCCTCCCTGGAGGCACCCCAGCCAGTCAGGGAGGAGGTGCCCTACCATATGACCACTGTGTGTACTTTCAGGTTGTTTGTGTTGGATGGAACACTTGATGGATGGAAGGCTGTGTTTTACCTCTGTGTTCTGTTGAGTTCCTCGACCTGTGTTTAAAGACCGTGTGTGTTTTCCTTCATCTGAACTTCTCTGTTCAGATTATCCCCCCATCATTCTCTCTCTTAGTTTGGTGTCTGTTGCTGTAATAAACGCCATCACCAAGAGCAACCTGGGGAAGAAAGGGTTTGTTTTATCTTACCACTTACACCATGAAGGGAAGTCAGGGTAGGAACTCATGCAGAGGCCATGGAGGAATGCTGATTACTGGCTTGCTTCTCATGGCTTGCTCAACCTGCTTTCTAATAGAACCACCTGCTCTGGAGTGGCACGGCTGGCTCACAGTGGCCTGGGCCCACTCACATCAGTAATCAAGAAAGTGTCTCATAGACTTGCCCACAGGCCAGTGTGATGAAGACAATTCCTCAGTTGACATCCCTCTTCCCAGTGATTCCAGCTTGTGTCAGGTTGACAAAAAACTAAAAATTGTGCTCAGACTTGTGTGCTCCCTTGCCCACTTGTGTTCTCTCTCTCTCTCCTTTTTCATGTGTATCAGTTTCAAGCAGCCCAGGTTGACTTCGAATGAAGGAACACTGCTCCTGAGTGCTGGGATTACAGATAATGTTCTGTATTTAGGTGTGAATCAGCTTTCGGGAAATAGTAGGATAGGAGATAGCTCCTAGGTGGTTTCATGATGGGTTCTACGATGCTTAATTTTTATGTACTGTCACATGACATTTAACGACAAGACAGGCTGGGAGTGACTGGGGATGAGTTGGGGATGAGTGCTCAGTTCATGTTCAATATTCAGCGCTGCTGCAGAGCAAGGTGTGGTGGTGGCTCATGCCTGTAACTGGGAGGTGGAGGAGGAAGGATCTGAGGTTTAAGGTCATGTGACCTCAGCTACATAGTGAGTTTGAGACGAGAGAATTAATCGTCTTACTTGTACAGGTCATTTTATTTGTGTGTGGGTGTTTTGTTTGCATGTCTGTCTGTGCACTGCGTGTGTGTCTGGTGCCAGAAAAAGGTGTCGGATCCTGGGGGACTGGAGTTACAGGCCACTGTGAGAAGTCATGTAGGTGCTGGGAATCAAACCTGGGACCTTTGGAAGACCAGCCAGTGCTCTTAGCCAACAAGCAAACTCTCCAGCTGTGCCACATCCAGGCTTTTTTTTTTTTTTTTTTTTTTTTTTTTTTTTTTTAATTCTCAGTAACAACTCAGACTTGTATTCATGTAGTTTTTCTACTTGCCTGCCTGCCTTCTCTTGTGTGAGAAAGTTTTTTAACCCTTACTGGGCCCTTCTGTCCCTCACTGTCTTCTTCCCCTCAGTGGGGATCAGCCCAGCACCCTGGCCCCAAGCTTCATCACTGCTCCAAGGTGTGTGTATTTCTCATGTTCATTCTTGTGTTTTTCTGTTCTGTGAGACTGTTGTGAGTATTTTCATCCTGGTTCCTTCCTGGTTACTGCATAGGAATATTGGTTTCAGTGGCCCTACTGAACTCTTCTATTAGTACTAATAACAGTGTCTAAGTTAGCTGGGCGGTGGTGGCGCAGGCCTTTAACCCCAGCACTTTGGAGGCAGCGGTAGGTGGATCTCAGTGATTGGAGACCAGCCTAGTCTATAGAGTGAATTCCAGGACAGCCAGGACTGTTACACAGAGAAACTCTTTCAAAAAACCAAAACAAAATCAAAGCAAACAAAATGTCTCAGCTGCTTGGGAGCTCCCATCTCAAAACTCATATTGGTGACTGTGGAAAGTTTATCTGTCCTGATTTATAGTGTCAACCTCTTGCTTATTTGTGCTGTCTAGAACTCTCAGAGCAATGTTGATAATAAACACAATACTGAAGTGGACACCACTGTCTTGTTCCTGACTGTAATGGGAATTGCTTTCAAAGCTTTATTTATGTTTGTATATATGTGTTCCTGCTTGTTGATATGTGTGCCATGTGTATGCAGGTACCTTCAGGGGGAACTAGAGTTGTAGGTGGTTGTAAGCCATCCAACATGGTTGCTGGGAACCTCTGAGCCATGTCTCCAGCCGCTGTAAATGGAATTTCCTACTATTTTGTAATTCTAGAAGACTTGTTTAAGGAATATCAGTCTATTAAGTAAGCTTCAGTGCTGAACATTACTGTTGCCTCTTCCATGCTGTGGGTGACCAGGTGGCTGTACCCTTTGGATCTGGTAGTCACCTCTTCCTGTCTTTCTTGGACTCTCAGCAGCCCAGAGACTCTTCAGTTCTTGGCACGTGGGGGTTCCTATTGTCCAGGGCCAGGCTGTTTTGATGACTGAGTCAATGAACAAATGGATGAAAGCATGAACAAATGAATGTTCTCTCTCTCCTCTGTGGGGATTACACAAGGCCAGAATGTAGAGGCTGGGTGATCCAGGCTTTTTCCCCTCAGGAGCTTTTCTTTCTTTCTTTCTTTCTTTCTTTCTTTCTTTCTTTCTTTCTTTCTCTCTCTCTCTCTCTCTCTCTCTCTCTCTCTCTCTCTTCCTTTTCTTTCTTTTTATATAGTTTTTAATGTTTATAGTTTTATATAGTTTTTAATATATATATATTATTGCCTGCATATATGCCTGCCGTCCAGAAGACAACACCAGATCTCATTAAAGATGGCTGTGAACACCATGTGGTTGCTGGGAATTGAACTCAGGACCTCTGGAAAAGCAGTCAGTGCCCTTAACCTCTGAGCCAACTCTCCAGCCCTCAGGAACTTTTCTTAAGGGACATGGACAGGAGATGGAGTATACTGAGAGTCCAGCAGTGGTGCCTTTTGATCCCACATGCTCACTGAGCATCCAGACCTGGTCCTCACCTGGGGTTAGGCGCCTCCATGAGATTGGGCCCTGTAGTCTTGCAGAAGCAGTGGGGATGGAGTGTCTTGCCCAGCACCAACCATAGCATTTTCCAGTCTCACAGCAGTAGCTGAATCTGTAGGTTGGGAGTGTGATGGCTGTAGAGGATATGATATTCTAAGAAACCGTGAGCTAGATGCTAGGGCAACAGGGACCCTCAGTCAGGCCTGGTATATGAGCAGTGTGGATGAGCTCAGCAAAAATGAGCTCAGATTGGATATGGTGGTGTATACCTATAATCCCAGTGCTCAGAAGGTGGAGACAGGAGGTTTGATTTAAGTTTCAGGCTAGCCTGGGCTACATTGTAAGTTTAGGGCCCATTCAAGGCCAGAGTCAAAGAGGCACATAGCAAAACCCTGTCTCAAAACACCAAAGCCAGTCTGGAGAGATGGCTCAAAGGTTAAGAGCACTGACTGCTCTTCCAGAGGTCCTGAGTTCAATTCCCAGCACCCACATGGTGGCTCACAACCATCTGTAATGCGATCTGGTGCCCTCTTCTGACATGCAGACTGAACAGTGTATACATAATAAGTAAATCTTAAAAAAAAAAGAAAACCACCAAAGCCACCAACAATAAAAGAATAGAATTTAAGTGGCATCTGGAGATTTCAGATTTCAGCATCCAAGGCTCTAATCTTCGAGGATCACAGTTTCTGGATTTGGGGCTTTAGATTTTGATCTTTTGGGATTCTGTATTTGAGATTATGACATTCAGGACTGTGATGGGCATAGCATAGAAGCTCACAGAGGGACATTGCCGGCCATGGCTTCTGGGTTGCTGTACTCCTCACCCGGGACCTCTTATTTCAGGTCTGAGCCTGGCCCTGGGTCCCAGCTTCCAGAAGCCATGGCAGAGAGCAGCGACGACACCCTGTCAGTAGCTGAGTGGCTTCGGGCGTTGCACCTGGAGCAGTACACGGCACTCTTTGAGCAGCACGGACTGGTATGGACCACCGAATGCCAAGGCCTCAGCGATACCAGACTGTTGGACATGGGCATGCACCTCCCTGGCCACCGCCGCCGTATCCTGGCCGGTCTACTCCGTGCCTATGCACCCCCGGCCCCTGTGCCCCGCCCTGCCCCACGGCCTGTGCCCATGAAGAGACACATCTTCCGCTCACCACCTGTGCCTGTCACTCCGCCTGAACCTGAACCTCCGCCCACAGCTGGAGAGGATGAAGGGCTACCTGCTGCTCCGCCTATTCCGCCCCGAAGGAGCTGCCTCCCGCCTGCCTGCTTCACTCCCCCATCCACAGCTTCCCCGGACCCTGTGCTGCCCCCACTGCCTGCCAAGCGACACTCAGTAGAACCTAGTGTTCCTCCTGTACCTCCTCGTACCGTACCCCACTACCCACAGGCCAGGTGAGTGACATCACTGCCGCTGGGTGGAAGGTCCCAGAGTGTAGGAGGCAGGGCTGGAGGAATGACTCTGACTGCTAGTGGGAACGCAAGCTTAGAGAGTAGGGAAGAGGGCAGGGTGGGGTGAGGTGTGGACCTGGAGAACTTGGCCTGTGAGATACCGTGGGGGGTCAGGTGGAGAAAGTGTAAACACACAGGCTCAGGTGTGGGGGTGGGGTGTGCCTCTGTCTGTCATACTGCTCCCCCCACCCAAGCTGTGTTTGACACATCTCACCAAACCCCAGGACCTCCCAGAGCCGCAGCCTGCTCACCCTCCCTCCTCTTCAGAATTCCTTCTCCTCTCCCTAGCTCCACTTCTTGCTTTCCGGAGATATTTCCTCTTTCTGTGGACATTCCACTTAACTCTTCTTCCAGCTGTTTGCTCAGTGCCAGGGGAAAAGCCTCTAAAGACAGGGCTGCCGCATGTTTGGGGGTAATGACACTCCAATATTCCATTGGATTTTCTTTTTTGAAGGGATGTGCTGAGAGAGGTCTCTTGTCCTTGTCACTGCTGGACAGTGTTGGGGATTCCCTTGATCCCTTCAGCAAGCCTGTGGAGGGTGGAGATTGTGTTCTGATTTCAAGCTGGGTAACTGAGGCTTAGAGCATGGGGGAAAGGACTACCTGGGTCCATGCAGAAACACTCTTGTGGGGAAAGTCCGTGAGGTTTTCTCCGTCTAGAGAGAAGCATTGAGTTAGGGGACCTTCTGGGCCAAGCCAGGTCTAAGGTTGTGTGTGTGAAGTTACATGGGCTAGAGATGCATGGTTCTTGGTGCTATTCCACCCCCTAGTGGCCATTCTCTTGCATGCAGGAGAAACATTTATTTGAGTGAAGGCCATAGCAGATTCAGAGTTGCTGGAATCCATTCCACACCCTTTCTCTCCTTCTTTCTCCCAACCAGAGTCACCCTCTGGAGATGTTTTGGGAAGGGAGAGGCCTTCAGAAGAGGCCAATGGGAAGAATTCATCTGGGTTAGGATTTTAGGCTATAGAGCAAGGTATAAGCAAATCAGGAAAAGCAAGGATGGGTTCTTGCCCTCTGCCCTCGGGACCTGATGTCCTATCTTAACTATCTGGGTCTTATGTGGTTCTCCTGGCACTTATATCTATCTGTTCAGGGAACTTGTAGGGTAGAATAGAAATCATATTCTCAGATCAGGGCCCCAGGATACACAAGGCCCCACTCTCAGAGCTAGTCTCAACATAGGTACTTGGCCAATAGGTGGGGAAGTTAAGGCCCCTAAGTAAAACATCTGACCCCTCAGTAGGCACAGTGTGGGGGACCATAAAAGTACTTGCAAGGAACCTGTGCTCATCCCCCATGTTCTTTGTTTTGTTTTTTGTTTTTCTGTGCTTTAGGGATCAAATTCAGGGCCATGCACATGCTTGGCAAGTGTTCTACCACAGACCCATGTCCCCAGCCCCATGTCTTGAACTGCAAATCGTCTGGACGTTACTTACAATGCCAAATACACTGTAAATGCTGTGCAGATAACTATCATACTGGAATATGATAGTTAGGGATACTGGTTAGGGAATAGGGACGAGGAAAAAAAATCTACATCTTTTCAGATAGATGTGGATTTGCCTCACATATTTTGGTCTGCAGCTTATTGAATCCATGGATGTGGGACATTAGGTTGCAAAGAACCTTCTTTGATCCCCACAGTTTGGGACCATCCCTTAGGGAAGAGTGGTGCCAATCCTGGTGTCCTGTGCCCTGGAATGTAGCATTAGGAGTTGTCTGCAGTCCTCAGCTCATGGATATAAAAAGTCTTTGGGTTTATTTTTACTTTTATTTTTATCTCATGTGTATGGGTGTTTAGACTGTCTGCCTGTCTGTATACTGCATGTGTAGATATACACATGCACGTTTGGCCAGCTGTCAGGGTTGTGGCACATCTGTGTACTTGCATGTCTGTGCTGGATCTGAAGGTAGCCATGCTTGATCCTAATAGGTGCAGGGTGCAGGGGACCTGTGCAGTTTCAGTGGTGACAGGCCCTGGATGTGTGAGCTCATCAGGGCTGAGTATACACATGCTTGTGCCCCTGGGTACTGCTGCTGTGGGGGTTGCAGTGCTAGCTTGCGCTGTTAATAGTGTGCAGATGCTGTTTGGGTAAGTGAATTGGCACATTTATTGTTTGTGTACTGTCAAGTGTGAGTCACTGTGCACATATGTGTGTACATATGCTGCCAAGAGCCTGAGCCTGTTAGACTGTCAGCTCTCCTAGAGTACGGGATCTTTGTCAGTTTCCTTTACCCTTGAATCCTCGAACTCCGGCAAGGTTGGGAATCTAATAGGCCCTTTGTACATGTCATGGAGGTTAAAGGTCAGTGCTGCCAGGAGCTTTCACACTGCAGGTGCTGAGCTTAGGTGCCTGGCAATGATGTGAGCAGGCCTCAGCCTGTACTAGCCATAGACTAAAGGACCCTGAGCTCATCACGCCGATCCTTCTCTCTAATTCATGTCATCCCAGGGAAGGAGATATTGTCAGAGGAGCTGGAGGGAAGTGAGGAGTTGATAGGATCCAAGGCTACAGGGAAAGGTGTAAGCACACCACAAAACAAGCAAGGGTGGGGCTCCCTCCTTTCTGCCTGGCCAGGTTGAGGGCCAGGCTCACATGTGGCCTGAGAAGACCCCACTTTACCTCTGTAGCTGTGATATAGTCTGGTATTTCAGCTTGTGGCTGTGAACTGGCTGGGGGCCCAAAGATATTCAGCCCTGGAGGGGGAACCAGCATTCAGATCCTGCCTCTGGACCATGTCCCTGTCCGCCAGGTGTCAGACAAACCCCTCAGGACTCACATCTCTGAGTCACCGTGGAATCGTTTCTGATCAAGGGTCCCAAAGTCACTCTACATAGCCCCTTCCAACTCTCTGTGGGTCTCAGTTTCCTTCTCTGGCACTTGGATGCCTTGAGATATTTGAGGGAAAGGAAATATTTGCCCAGAGTGGGCAGCTACTGGCTGGAGTCATACCTTGCGAGGTTTCCCTTTTGTGCTTTGAATGCTTTGCAGCCCAGCCAATCCTTGGCCTTCCTGGAGGCTGATCACCTGTTGCTGGGGCAGAAATCCTTCCCTTCAGAGAGCCTATTTTGCAGCTTCTTTGGGCATCCTGCAGCGGGTGGGGTCTAGGAAATCCACCGTAAGGGCTAGCCAGAATCAGGGCTTTCTGGACATTCACCCTGTGAGGCCTCAGGGGACCAACAGACAGGGCTAGTTGTCCCATTTTAGTTTAGACGGTACTGGTGTGGCCTGAGGGGCGGGGAGGAAGTACTGCCCCAGGGGATTATGGGTGACTTTTCTCTCTCTTAGTGCTTTCAGGAAGTGTGTTGGCCCAGCCTGAAGGGGGTGGGGATAGGAGAGACGGAGAGCAGGAAGCAGAGACTAGAGCTGGACACAAACACACAGACGCGCGCGCGCGCACACACACACACACAAACACACACACACTCTCTCTCTCTCTCTCTCTCTCTCTCTCTCTCTGTCTCTCTCTATCTCTCTCTTTCTCTCTCTCTCTCACACACACACAACAGATTTATGATTATATTCAGAAACACACACACTTATAGAATTGATTTACACACATTCAGAGACACCACCTATAGGTGTGCAAAGACATACCTGGGATTCATACCTCCAAGGGAGCAGGACACAGGCACGGCTGGCAACAGGAACTCGTGCCACAAAGCCAGCCTGCGCCCACATAGGCTTCCAGGGGCAGACACAGGCCACCTTGGCAGGCACTGGTCCACCTGGCTGGAGCCTGAGTTCTTAGGCCGGGGATTCAGCAGGCCTCTGAGGGTGAGTGAGGGGAAGTCCCAGCTAGGGTGTTGGGCAGGTGGGAGGGCTGGGAGGACAAGAGTGCCTCTTTGTCTGGCTGTCCACTTTCTAAGCTGCTTTTCCAGGGTGCTCTGCTGCCTCTTGGCTTGCTCAGAATTTTCTTTTACTTTCTCCACTGCCCCAGTTTTTTTTTTTTTTTTTAACTGTCCTTTTCTACCACATCCCTCCTTCCTTTTCTCTGGGTTTTCCAGGTCAGTGTCTCCCCATCAGCCTCTCCTGGATCCACTGGGGACCCCAGTACCTAATTTCTATTGTGTGTTTGTGTGTGTGTGTGTGTGTGTGTGTGTGTGTGTGTGTGTGTGTCTCTCTTTGGGCCTCTGGTGCTTGTTCTATTCTGCCATTAATTTCGAGTTCCCTGTACCATCTAGAAATTCCCTTGGGGAGATTTAGGTTAGCTTGTTGCATTGTCAAATTCAAGATTGCATGTGTCTAAACCCCTTGCCCCCAGCCCAAGGCGACAGGGACCTACCTGCAGAGAGGGCTGGCACTTCGTTTGTCTGGTTCCTCCCCTGCTTGGCAGGGTTGTTAATTGGTAGGTAAATGTTGAGTATGAAGTTGACCTCCCCTCCTTCTAGTTACAAGGAATCCCTAATGAACCCAGCACCCTTCGGGTCACTAGGAGCACAGAATGGCCTCTACTGTGGACTGGGCACGAGAAGCAGTGGGGGAGGGATCCTGAAACTGTCTGAAAGCTCACCAAGAGATGACCTGGTCTTCCTGTCCTCAGGGAGAAAGTAGGACCAAACCCAGGAGGTTCACAGAGCAGACTGGCAGATAGATGCTATGCGCCTCTGGCTCACCACAGCAGGACTGTCTGTGGGGCAGGCAGCTCAGCAGGGGTCAGGCAGTGGAGTGGTATGGAGGGCCCTGTAAGACTGGCAGATAGATGCTATGCGCCTCTGGCTCACCACAACAGGACTGTCTGTGGAGCAGGCAGCTCAGCAGGGGTCAGGCAGTGGAGTGGTATGGAGGGCCCTGTGGACTGTGTGAGCTAAAGGAGGGGGAATGCATGGGTGGGTTTCCTGGAGGGCGAAGTGTGTTTTAAGCACAAGGGAATCGATGGTTTGTGGTCATTCCATGTAGAAAGCCCCAGCAGAAGCCTGACCCACAGTGTTACTTAGCAAGGGGAGCCCCTGGTCCAGGAAGAAGTGCCCTGGGCTGTGGGGCCTTAGTTGTGTGCTGAACTCGAATCGGGTGCTATTGGGGGTGCATTTGGGGGCTGCAGCCTAGAGCAGGATGCTGGCAGTGTGGCTGTTCAGGACAGCCCTTTGTGTTAAGTGACATGTAGGCTGCAGATGTCCATTCTAGCAAAGGGAGTCTGCAAGAACTTGGTCCACTGTGGCCTGGGCAGAAGTGAGTGGGACATAGCTAGGGCTTTGCAGCAGCACCAGCACTGAGGTGGAGGAGGGACAGAAGCGGCATGGGGGAAGCAAGGAGTGCAGGACTGGGCCAGCTGCTGAGGAGGAAGTGGGCAGCTGGGAAAGTTTACCACTGGAGACTAATGTCTCCAGATAACTGGGCCTGGCGCCTCTTGCAGCTGTGCTGGTGAGAGTCCTAGGATTGGCCTGGGTCCCTCTAAGGTCCATGTAGCATTTTAGGGGGAAGGTTCTAATGCTGGGGTGGGACATAGCCTGGATCCTTTGTTCTCTGAGGTCATCTCAGGGAACTCAACACTGAAGGATATAGCCATGCAGAATGACCGGAAGTATGGTGGTGGTCTGCAGAAATGGCTCAGTGCTTGAGAGCACTGACTGCCGTTCCACAGGACCCGGGTTCAATTCTTAGGACTTACATAGTAGCTCACAAACAATCTGTAATGTCAGTTCCAGGGGATCTGGTGCCTTTTTTGACATCTGTGGGCGCCTGAATGTAGGCAGTGCATTTACATACACACTTACACATAAACAAATAAGTAAATCTTAAAAATAAAGAAGTAGTATGGAGAGTGGGGGAGCCCCAAGGAAGCCCCAACAAAGCCTGAGGCATGAGGGAAAGCCCACAGTAGGGGTGGGGGGTGGGGGATGTTGGCCTTTTAAGAAAGTAGGAATTTGACTAGACAGGGACAGATGTTTGAGGTGAAAGGAAGGCTTTATGTAAAGGCTTTGAAGTATAAGTTTTTAGATGGCAGCTTGGAATTGTATAGATGGACCAAGAGTTAAGAGTGCATACTGCTCTTGTAGAAGACCTGAGTTTGTCTCACAGTTCCCACGTTAACCACGTGGAACTCCAGCCTCAGGGTATTCACTGGCACTCATGTGCATATATGCCTATACACAAACATTCAATGTAAAGGTAAACAAATATTTGTTGACTTCAGATTAGCTTTTTTTTATAGAGGGCTGCACAGTGAATGGCTAGGGAGTGGGGACTGAGTCCAAAGTCAGCTTGACACTTAGGCTGCCCTTCTCTGCAGTCCTCCTGCCCTCAAAGTGAGCCTTGGTTTCTCTGGCTGGAGGAAGATTAGACGGGCTGTGTCGGGAGAGGAGCACAGGAGAAGGCTATACTGCAGCTTATGGCCTAGCCTGTGGGGCTGAGATTCCAGGTAACATGTGAGAACAGTGTGGGTAAGCTTGCAGGCTAGTCAGAGTTTGGGAAACTGAGGCTCAGAGGTGATGATTGAGTTCTGGGACACAAACCCAGATCCGCCTGCCTCCAAACTGGAGCAGTCAGTCACACAGCTCATTGTGCCCAGGACAGGCTCCATTTGTACCTATTGCCCCTTAATAGTTATAGGCAGAGCCTTAAGCTTCTGGTTCATACCATTAGTGACAGGGTCACTTTAATCTTACCCCTTTATGTTTGGGGCCCTCATATGTCCCCCAGCCCTGGGTACAAGGTCCCATGATATTTCTTGTGATCTGTAAGGTCAGACTTCTTGGGCTCAGGACCAGGGCTGAGGTGGCTCACCCCTGTCCCGGGTGCCCTGTCTTACTGTGAATGGCATAATAATTAGAATTGCACCTTGGCTATAGAAAGTGCAGCTTTGCCCTGCCTGGGCCTGTGGGCTACATTTTGAGGTACAGAGGGTGCTTCCCTGGGTTGGGAGTGGGGGGTAGAAGTCAAAGGAGAAGAAGCAGGGGGAGTAGAGGCCTGGAGGGTGTTCACTAGCGTTTACGGCTGTGCTGAGGCCAGAGAGCAGCACTGGACTGGAGAATGGAACAACCTGGGACTGTTTGTGAGGAGCAGACACCCAGGGGCTGCTCCAGGGTTGCCCCCTGGGCTCTGTTCTCGGTAGGGGATACTATCCCCTCCCCTGGGGATTTCCCACAAGCTGTGCCTTTCTGACCTCACTTCTCCTTTCCTGGCCCTGAGTCAGCAGTGCTAGATTCCCTATGCCAGGCAGTCTGGCTCTCATGGAGGTTTCTTGCTGCAAGTGTTATGAGAGGCCCTGTTGTCTCCCAACCTGGGACAGATGATAAGGACACAGAGCACCTGCAGGTGGCGAGCCTCAGGGCAAGCTTGTGGAGCATTAGGACAGTGGTATTTAGCGGTAGACCTGGTGAGGATGGTTTGTGCTAGCCTGGCCCTGGAGGGTAAGGAACAAGTGGGCACCCTGTTGCTACTCTCCACCCCTTAGAGTCCCCCCACCCCCACCCCAAGGGAGGAGACTGGCAATAGAGAGCCAGGCCCACTTCGGCTTGTTTGGCCTTGGAGAATGGGAATCCCTACTTCCTACTTCTCCATAGTTCACGTTCTGCTCTCAGCTGACCCCTGAGCTTGGCCTCCACAGCCCCTTCTTCCTGCTGCCTGGAACCCTCTGTGTGATGCATTGATTTGCTCATCCTGAAGTCTGAGGACATGGCACCGAACATCCTGGGCCAGGCACCAGGCCAAGCTGTGGGACATGTTTGCATTCAGATGTTAAGTCACCATTTAATCATTCACTTGCTTCCCTTGCAACCAGAAGGATCAACTCTCGAGTCTGTCCGCAGATTGGTCCTCCTGTTTGCCACCCACCTGACTAGAGTGCCCTTGTCGTCCACTCCGCCAAGCTCTTCACTCGACAGTGGGGATCTCCAGTCAGATGTTTTCCCTTCAGTAAAGAGACTCAGGGTCAACTCGGGGAGACAGCCCGGTGTAGTGCCCAGGACGCTGCATACTCTCAGTACCATCTCCTCTTGGTATTACCAGAGAAGTAGACAGGGTATAGAGAACAACTTGCTACCAGGGTAGCAGCAGGGGCCATGATAGCCATCACGTCGCAGTCCTCATACCTGTCTGGCAGCCATTCTTTGTGACCCTTGCAGGTGACAGCTCAGAGGTGAGGACTGAGGACCAGAGTGGGCAGGTGACTCACAGGGAGCCAGCCTAGCTTAGAAACTTCTTGTCCCAAGGGGCTTGCTTATGTGCCTTCTAGGGGCCCCACAAGTGTGAGTGTTCTAGTTGCAGGTCATTATACTTAGGAGCCATCACTACACTACAG